TGAACACAGTAGGAATGCTGTCCTCTGAGGAGTTTGATAAATCTCCATTTATAAATGCCAAACAAGCTGGCATTTCAAGCGGCCTGGCATGCCACCACAATAGGTGGCTGGTGGGCTGCTGAGCTGTATATGGGTCAGGTGAAACAGGGAGCCGAATCCCTGTTACCCATAAGCTCTGTGTTGGAGCATCCGCAGAAGATCCCAGGTCCAGTTCCTGGCATCTTTAGTTAGGGCTGGGAGAGGCTCCTTTCTGAAGCCCTGCAGAGCCACTACCAGTCAGAAGATATTGAGCAAGGTGGACCAATGCTCTGACCCAGTATAAAGCAGCTTCCTAGATCGCTGTGCTCCTCAGACAGGAAACTTCAACCAGCCCGATCGAGAGACTCAAGAGGACCGCAGAAGGCTGACCCCCACGCTACTGTGTCCCTCGGAACCCTCCCCATTTCCTCCCATTTGGGCATAGGCACACTTCCTAGGATGGTTTCGACCTATAAAGCCTTAAACTGCTCAGTACCACAATACCTCAAGGGCTGCATCTCTCGATATGAAGCTACCCTGAGATCATCCTCTGAAGCCCTTTGTGTGCCTCTTCCACGAGGGTGACAACATGAGAATGGGCCTTTTCTGTGGTGGCTCCCCATTTGTGGAATGCTCTCCCCAGGGAGGTCCAGTTAGCGCCTTCATTATACACCTTTAGGTGAAAATGTTCCCCTTCAACCAGGTTTTTGGCTGATTAGCATTCAATACTCTTTTAAATGTGTTGTGGGATGGGGAGAGGGGGATTATTGGTTTGGTTTTGTCCTTATTTTTATTATGCATTTTTTTGCTGCTTATATTGTATATTTATATTGTGAACCACCCTGAGATCTACAGATGAAGGGTAATATACAGATTTAAATAACATTAACATTAATGATTTGTTCAGAGGAAAAGAGGCAAGATTGATAGTGTGGTGCCAAAAGCAAAATCCATGGATAAATTTATGGAGGATAGGTAAGGTAAAGGTAAAGGACCCCTGAAAGGTTAAGTCTAGTCAAAGGCGACTATGGGGTTGTGGTGCTCATCTTGCTTTCAGGCCGAGGGAGCCGGCGTTTGTCCACAGACAGCTTTCCGGGTCATGTGGAGAGCATGACTTAACCACTTCTGGCGTAACGGGACACCATGACAGAAACCAGAGCACACGGAAACGCCGTTTACCTTCCCGCCACAGTGGTACCTATTTATCTACTTGCACTGGTGGGCTTTCAAACTGCTAGGTTGGCAGGAGCTGGGACAGAGCAACGGGAGCTCACCCCGTTGCGGGGATTCGAACCGCTGACCCAAGAGGCTCAATGGCTTAGACCACAGCACCACTCGTGTCCTTTTGTGGAGGATAAGGCTATCATGGGCTACCAGCCAAGATGGCTATGTTCTACCTCCAGCGTCAGAGGCAGTATCCCCCTGAATACCAGTTGCTGAGGATTACAAATGAGGACAGCACTATTGCACTTAGGTTATTTATTGGGGCTTCCCATAGGAATCTAGTTGGCCACTGTGAGAACAGGATGCTGAAATGGATGGGACTTTGGCCTGATCCATCAGGACTCTCCATACATTCTTAAAAGCTGTACACATACGAGGCCTCTGCTTCTGATAGGGAGCCATCATCATTAAAGGTTCCCAATCGTGTGTGGCATAAAGCCCAGCATGCAGAGGTTCCGTGCACTAACTAACAGGTGTGATCACACTCCCCGGTCCGCACATTCGCTCTGCGCATGCTGATGTGAGACGGGAGCCATTGTTTTTTCAACAATTTTTTTCATTTGCTGTTGAAAACTCTGGCTCCTGCTGTTCCTTTTCTTTATACATTTACATAAAACAAGCGGAATGGTAATAGATAGCTAAAATGCATTTGTTTGCATTTTTGGTGATGCTTTGAAAGAGATGCACGAAGTGAACTATTTGCAGTGCAGTTTGGAGGGGAAAAAGGCTCTTTAAACAGACGTCAGCAGCAGGGAGATCAGAAATAGATGTGGCCAGACACCTGCTGACAAACAGTGACAAATTCCACTGACACAACAGTGACCCCCAGTTTGTCAAGATTTAATTAAGGGTATAATTAAGTCAGTGGAACAGAACACTAATGAGTGGAGTTTTTTTTTAATATGGGTAATTACATCTAAGAATACAAAGTAAGACAAGGCTCTAAATATATCATTAAAATGAGCACTATAGAGTGACAAGCAGAGCGTAAAGTGTGCCTTTTTGGAGGAAGAATGCAAGTTTGTAATTGCTTGGCTTTGACAAAGCTTTTGCGTTTTAAGACTCCAGCTTTTGCAGCTCCTTTCAGAATCGAAATTCATTAAGTTTCCCTGGGAATTCTGCCAGAAAAGGTCTGGATCAAAGTCCAGCTAAAATCCTAATTGCTGTTTTGTGAACAAAATGCCTACTTTTTAAAAATCTATCTACCTATATGAAGGTATCACAGTAATTTGGTGAATGTCGACAATTACTGGGGATTGTCAAGGTTTCCCCGAACCAGAGGGAAATGCAGAAAATATTGACCACTAAATGTCAAATCCAACTGAGTATTTTCACTAAGTACAGAAATGAACATGCCAAAATATGTGTCGCTGCCACCAAAATAGCATCCCTGCATCTCTCTTTCCCCCTTCGCTGGTAGGAACAAGTAAATAAAAACGTGATGTGATGTCATCATGCTTCCAAGTTTGCACACTTCCACAAGCAGCTACACATAAAGTGGTGTAGGAGTAGGGAAACGTGAAGTGTCGTGTCACATATTTTTACTTAATAAACTTCATGTTGAGGAAAGCATACAAATGGCTGATGTTTTTGGTGGTAGCCAAATTTCTCCTGTAATTGTACCTTCTGCCATAAATGTCCTCCACATTTCCATCATTTACCAGTAAAGGACATTTGCTAAACTATGAATAGAATGTGAAAAACACCCCTGATGATGCAAACATTTTAGACATTTCCCACTGGTTTTTTTTTTTAAATCATCATTTAATATTTGTGGCTCATAACACAATAGAACAATGTTGGTGATGTGGGGCACACATTTTTAAAGAAATAAAGAAATCACAACACTATTCTTAACCACAACAGTAACTGGTGTGGGTCTTGAAGCTACAATTAATATTGACGTGGGTGGCCAATTGGCAAATGTGACTGTTTATATATTCATCACATTTGTATACCAGATTCAAAGGAGCATACATGTCTATAAGATAGATTAGAGACAGCAGTGTATTCAAGGCCTCCTCACAAGAGCTGATATATATTTTACACATCAATTGTGTTTGTTGTGGGTACATTGTGTGGGTTTTTGCTCAGTCTTTGGTGTAGCAGCATGTAAAGTGATAAGGAGATGCACTTCCTCAAATATACAATTCAGCTAGATAGGAATACTATAGTCCCTATCAGCCACAGCCAAACATGGATCCCCAATACATGTTTACTGTGACTTAGTTATTGCAAACAGCAGATGAGATCAGTATTCCTGTCTCCACCATAATCATCACATCAGGCTGAGGGCTCATATGACCGCATGTGAGGCTGAGGGAGAGAAGATTCCTACACAGAGAAAGCTAGCCTATAAGGGAGCAGGTCAGGCTAAAATCCTTGTCTCTGACACCTAGTTTTCTATATGAAGGGAACTTCTGCAGGGAAGAGCATTCAGCCATGTGAGATCCTTTCTGCTTTCTTAAGCAGCATGGTCTGGACACAAATGGCTGTTTGTGAGAGTACACCTAAGGATGAACAAGGAATGTGTCTCTCCTACATAGGCTTGCTGCAGCAGCATTAAACATGTTCATTAAAAATGATTATCACAGAAAGTGTGAAATGTCACAGATAAGCAAGAATTTGAATCTGGGTTTTCCTCAGCTAGATTCAACATTCAACCTAACTTAACCAATAAAATGGCATTTAATCTGAGTGGTGTTGTGTTCCAACTTAAGGAGAACGTATGCCACTTGGAAAGCTCTCAGATCCATAATTGCCACTGGGTGTGATGGCAGCTTCAGAAAGGTATAGCAGCTATCACCAACTTTGATTGGAGAGGGATGGTCTGGCCACAGATGTTCATCCTTTAGTAACTGCTAGGTTAGACTACCATATGTGGGGCTGGTTCCGAGTGTGCCTCCAGGTCCAATTCAAACTGCTGGTTTTGACCTTCAAACCTTAAACAGCCAGGGTACTTCATGGGCCACCTTCTCCCATGTCTCCCTGCCAATTAAGATCTTATTCAGAGGCCATAGCTGTCAATGTTTTCCTTTTTTAAAGGGAAATACTCTTACTCCGAATAGGATTCCTCGCAAGAAAAGGGAAAAGATGACAGCTAAGTCAGAGGACCTTCTCCAGGTGTTCCTGTATTTGGAAGTTAGGTAGCTACTGGAGGGAGGCTTTTTCCGTGATGGCTCCCAAATGATTAACTCCCCAGTCTGTTATGTCTGCCAGGTACCAGCACTGTAGTCTTTTAGACACTAGGCAACATCCATCAGTGATGGAGCAGTGGTTAAAGTGTTGGATTAAGCCCTAGGGAGATCAGAGTTCAAATCCCCAATCAGCTATGAAGCTCACTGGGTGATCTTGGCCAGTCACTGTCTCTTAACCTAACCTACCTCACAAAGTTGTGAGGATAAAACGGGGAGGAGGATAGTTATGTATACCACCTTGAGCTCCTTTGAGGAAAGGTGGGATATAAATGTAAAACTACCCAAATAAATTTAAAAATTCATGTTCTCATGAGCTTTAATGGGATTGGCGTGGGAGTCTCACATTTTTTCCTGGTTTTATTGGCTTGTGATTCTTTTACCTCCTGTTTGATTGCTGTTTGTCATTGTATTTAATTGCATTTTTAATGGTTTTGTTATGAGTCACCTTGAAGTTATTTGTGGGTAAAGAACATCTTAAAGAAAATAAGCAAACAGATGCACAGGGGATATATCCATTGTTTCCTTAAACAGTCTCCCCATTTGTTGTTCGGTTTAAATCAGGCTCCACCAATCCATCATAAGGTTGCAGCGTGTTTCATCTAATGCCTTGGAATTATGGGAATCTTCATTCGGATGAGCGCTTGGTCAAAGAGCAGAGCGGGGTCAATGAAAAATTAATTGAAAGCAACCTGTAAGGCTTCCTATATGGGATGATGGCTCCCTCCCCATTAGGGAGGATGTCTGTGATATAAACAACTCCTTTGTATTCTTCACAATAGGTAAGAATGATATAAAAGATTTTTTTATACTACTGAGAGAACAGCCTTTCTACTGAGATTATACTACCCACTCCCAGCTGGTAACTTATACTTCATGACAGCCTTTTATCCGTTATCAAAGCAACAAGTAGAAAAGCAGATATTCCCGATCTCTAACACCCTCTGTTCGGTTCTCTCTATAGAATTTCGGATGCTAAATCTTCCTGTTTAACAAGCCCTCGGATTTCCTTGCCGCTGCTGTTGTCGGCTCTAAAGATGTCTCTCAAGTCTTTAGCCTGCTTGTCTAACCTAAACTCAGCAGAATTCCACAGGAATGGAGACTCGTTTGTTTTTACAACTGTATATTAGCTACGGGGAGACAGAGGGAAAGGCATGATAGCAGCACTCTGCTCCTAGCGAGCAGACCAAGAGTGCTTTTCCCAAAGACTGTAGCAGAAAGAGGAGTGGACCCTAAAAAAGATACGTAAAATTGTATGTGGCAATATATCTCTTTGAAGTTTATTGCAGCTTCGGCCTCAACTTATCTCAAGCTTTAGTATCTCTTAACAACCAGTGTAGAACAAAACAAACACAAATACGTCCAGGGAATACAAAGGGCACCTCCCCGCACTGGAGCCTGCTGTGTTGCTGGTTCGGTGCTACAGCGCTGAACTGGCAAAGCTGCATACAATCCAGTGTTTGATGGTGGAACACAGGGACATGTTTGGCTTTGGAAGTGATGTGTGTCAATCAACTGACCATTTTGGTTTACTTGTTTTAAAAATAATAAAGAGTATCAGATAGCTTTCCTTGCAGTGGATTTGATTGTATTTATTATAGAAGAGCTGCAAATGTTCTCAGCAACATTTGCTAGCTGGACAAGATGTTATGGGAAGAATGAAGTGTAAGGTAGGCATTGGAATCTTCCATTCATACTCATGCCTTGGCATGTGTATGCAGTGGAGTCAAGAGGCATCTATTTCCCATTCAGATTTTCTAGGCCAAGTTCACATATCATGCTAAGCTATGGGTGCGGAACCTTTGGCCCTCCAGCTGTTGCTCAGCTACAATTCCCATCAGCCCCAGCAAGCATGGCAAGCAGCTCCCCACATCTGTATTAAACCATGGTGACATATGAGTTGAAATGAGCCCAAGTGAGCCTCAGGCCACACACTTGAAAAGTCATAGAATCACAGAATTGTGGGAATGGAAGGGGGCCTGATTATCAGAGTCCACCACCTCTCGTAGGAGTCTGTTTCACTGTCAAACAGCTCTTACTGTCAGAAAGTTCTTCCTAACGTTTAGTCCCTTTCCCTCCTGGTTTACTTAAACTTGATCTGCCGTTGCATCCAAACTCAGTTTGGATGTGAGTCCAGCTCCCACCAGCCCCAGCTGGGATTTGTAGGCTAAGAGCATCTCGAGGGCAGATTAGCCACCTTTTCTTTACACTAACTGTGGTTAGTTTAAGCAAGCCACCTTCGTAACCCATAGGTAAAAGTTGGCTTGTTTTGTCACTGCCCCAGTTAATCTGCTGTTTGGATTACAGTACCTGGAATCAACCCAGTTGCTACGTGTGTGTGAAAGGTGCTTATGCAGTACTGGAAAACCAGTAAGACTGGGTGGATATTGTGTGTTAGGTTGGCAGAAAATGCAAAACTCAGCCTAGGTGAGGTGTTCGTAGGAGGGGAAGGAGCAAAATTCTTTACTTATTTAGATAATTTATATGCCGCCTATGCAAAAGTTATAGGGGGGTTTACAGCAAAGACAAGAAAGATGTAAAGAATGCATCATAATAAAATGTGCAATACAACAATTCACACTAAATAATGATTTATTAATGTCACCAGCGTCAACTAATCCATTTATCTCATCATGTATCTCTTCCTCCAAAGGTCCACCCCAAAAATATGCATCTGAACCAACTGTCTCCTCTGGAAAGTTCCCCCAATCATTCAGAGATCTGAAACTATAGATGCTCCACCACAGCATCCATTCATCCCCTTTACATCCATTCAAGTCCTGTACAGAGTACCATAAGCCAAAAGAGAGAGGCCACTGTCCTTAAGGAGCTTACAGTTTTAAGATTCAGCAGTGTAGGAAGTTGTGCAAAGGCAGGGGGGAAAGGAAGGAAGATCAAAAGGCCAAAAACATGAGAAGGGGATGCAAAAGGATTTGCCAAAGACAGTGAGGGAAGATTATGTTTACAAATTGGGCCACAGAAGTGCTGTCTGTGAGATGCTCTCCTCATTCATGCCTTCAGGGTTACAAAAATTCACATATTTTAGCTAAATTACCTCCGAACTAATATCGTGATTCTCCAACAATTTATGCTAACATTCATCTCTGTATGTGCAGTGAACTCACTGTGCTAGACTCCCACCATAAGGTCTCATCTGCTTCCTTATGACATCTGGATCTCATCTACTAGTTTGTAGTTTTCTCCTGCTCTGATCATTTATCAAAGATACTAAGTGTTCCCTGACATTTCCTACACACATTCCACATATCATTGGCAAGGTAAGATATACAGTAGAAGCTTTGCAAGAGCTCAGCTGACTGGTTAACTCAAGTTCTCTGCAAGTCAATGTACAAAACTAAGTTAACAACAGATGGATCAACTTTGCTATCTACAGGAACCTACAAACAGCAGCAACACCAATATTTTGATCTATATATTAGACTGAAACTGGGACTTCCCTGGTGTTGGAGTCCTTACTACACAGAGTAATGACACCTACAGAGACCTGTTGAATATGTGACCAGGATGAATTGGATTTATTTCAGTCAGAGTACTCTATTAAGAATCAAAATTTGCCTCTTTGGGCTTTTAAAATGTTGAAAGGTCTTATTTGTCACAGACAGTCAACAGCCATGTCCTGCAAGTAAGTCAAATAAGTTCTTATATAACCCACTACACTCTGCGGCCTTTGCACTCAAAACACGTTTCCTGTCAGTAAGGGAAGCAGGAGTGGGTCTCAGCAGCTGAAAGACTTATCAGTAAACATACTCTGTTAACAGCTTGTTCCTGAAAGTAGTAAGCAAAATAGTCATGATCTGGCAGCACACTGGATAAAGCTGATCTGCACATGGGGATCTGTGGCCTACAACTGGGTCATGATGACCTTTAGGCGAGTGGCACCGGGGGCACTATAACCTTTGGCGTTTGGGGGGGGGGCAAAAGAGAAACAACCATGTAATCTCTGTTTACGTGTAGCTTTTTGCAGACGTTATGCTGAGGATGTGCACAAAGAGTGCACAATCCTTCTCCCTCCTCTACACATGCTCAGTGTACACAGATTTATAATATGTGCACAGCTATGTGGGCAGAAATTGAGAATGACTGACAAAAACAGAAAAGCAGGGAAATGATAAAGAGAGGGAAATACAGTTAAGGTAAAAGTGGCTGGGATTCATAGGCTCACATGGTCTTCTATGTGTATATTTGGGGTTTCGGTGGGACCTTTTTATCACAGATTCCCCATCTGTGCACTGGAGTGGTTTAAGCATGCTCATTTACAGCTCAATCCCAGCAAAGGAGCACATTAGTTGGACATACAGTTTGCTGGACTAGCACAAAGCTGTGAAATATGGCGTTGTATGGGCAATGCAACGATTCTGCACTGGCCTGTAGATTCACACACACAAAAGATGAGTGTAAGTGTGTCACAGACCTACAGAATGTATCTGCGCAAGCTATTGCCACTTCTAATATGGCTTACATTGCAAGTTCAAAAGGAAAAGGCACAGTGTAACCCAGATAAAAGTACCAGTGCTCTTCTTTGAATAGTAGATAAGCAAAGCAAACAGCCCTCTGTCCCTTCAGCCATGTACATAAATATGAGGCAAACACTCAACATGCAATGTGCAAATATCAGATACAGGGGATTCTTTAATCTCAAAAAAGGAGGGCAAATCATGCATATGTGACTTGGTGTCTACATGGAGTGCATTGGAAAGGACAGGAGAGTAGCCTCTTCTACTAAGTGTCTAACACATGAGGAACTTAACTGGCCTGTTAAACATATGATCAAGGTCCCTATGCCAACATCACACCTTGGATTAATGGGCCTACATTGGCTATGCTGTTGGAAGGAGAGTAGCAGATCATCTAATGCACCACCACTCTGCATAGGCTGAAAACACCCCCAACCACCTTTTGAAAACCATAGGAGATCCCTCAATTAGCCTTGGTATTGCATTTCATTGTGGAATTCCTCTGATATGCACATTTCCTCTAGTGCTGAACCCAAGTCTCTTCTTGTATTTTTTTGTTCCTGCAGATGGAATACTGGCCCAGGAAGGAGGACACTGTGTGATAAAGGAGCGTCTTATGAAGATGTGGCAATCCAGCTAGCCTGTAAAAATAGTTCCATAGTAACTTATGAGTGGAAGCTCCTGGTTCTGGCCCAGCTCAGAAATGAATGCATTGCCAAGAAACATACAACCACACCATTGGGTCCATCCAGCCAAATATGATTTCATATTGGCCATGAGGGTTTCAGAGACGGGTCTTTCCTGGCCTACCGACTTAAGATCTCTTGAACTGCACGTTTTAAAGTTGAATCTGGGTCTTTCTGCATGTGAAGCATGTGCTTTGCCACTGAGCTATATGCCCTCTTCCCATCTAAGAGAGGTTACTGTAAGAATTATTGAAAGGATGTGTGTTCAGTGCCTGGAGGCTGTGCAAATGTTCATGCTTCATTTTACATCCCAGTCTCAAAAGTAGCCCTGGGAAAATCCTGTTCAGGGGATGATAGAAATGGATAAAACAAGGTGCAAATGATTTGCACTTGTATTCTCAATTGTGTTCAGGTATGAGTGCTTGAATCACAGTTCCTTGTTAAGTGATCCCCACTCCTCTCAATGGTGCTAACCAGAGCTTTTCTTCTAGAAAAAAAGGTGCTGGTACTGCGCACTATTATTTACTTATTTAGACCAACAAAAATGTAGAAATATTAAATATCTGTCCATTGGGGAGTAGAATTAGAAGGGGGGAAATGAAAGAGGGCGTTGCAGGGAGG